GCAATCTAGCGAAAATAAGAGTAAAATAAAAGACCTTTTACTTGAATTCTTTTAATTCTTGGATTCTTGGATTTCTTCGGCGTTTTTCTCGCTGGTAACATTTTTTAAATCACTTTTGCGTCTTTTTTAACTCCAGTAGCATTCTATATTTTTGAATCACTTTGGCGTTGTCTTACCTCCAATAGCATTCTTGAATCTCTGGTATTTTACCACCAACAGTAGCATTCTTTTACATTAAGTTTTTTTAGTACCTCCGTTCTTTTCTTTGAATTTCTTTGTCTGAATTTTCACGGCACATTCTATTTACAATTAATAAGTACTTTTCTTCTCTCTATACATATAGTTTTTTTTTTGGCCTAAATTTTCGCGGCATATTCTTCCCGTCTAAGTTTTTCAGCACGTTCGATTTTTATACATATAATTTTTTTTTTAGTGCTTATTGACCGATCCCGTGCTTCAGGGAAGAAGGGCAGATTTTTCTGTTTACACACAAATTAAAAGCAACAAATACTATCTTTTGGTGTCTGAAATAAAATCCCCCAGATATATGTCTTCAAAGAAAATTGATTTTTTGAATTGTGATTTAGTAAAAATTGGAAATGAAATGAAGGATATGCTTGATAAGTGCATTGAAGATGGCGTAAAAAACAATGATTTGGCTATTTGTGGCATACTTGTTGAAGGTAAATATGTATTAATGATTTTTATATGTATATTCTTATTTACCTTTCCTTTTTATAATCAGGTTTTCAATGCAGTATGTTTGTTATGGACCTGAAGTTTGATGCGATATACCCCTGGGAAAGTTTTTTCTTCCACAAAATATTCATAACCTTAATGTACTTTCTATCGCGATAGAAGAACTAATGCAAGCAAATGTCAGTATAGAATATTATAATATTTTTGCCTGACGTTATAATTGTATATAATTTTTTTTTCTTTATACAAAAGAGCATCATTTCCCGCTCTGCTGAACTTTGCTTTCAAGATCTATTTCAATGCAATAAAGATCCAAGTATCACATCCACTATACCTTCCACACCCATACGCAATGGAATGACGCGACCATCATTTCACACACCAATAAGGGTTCCAACTCTAGTTCCAACTAATAGAATTTCTTAGTTTATAATTCATGTTATATTACTAGCATTAATGTATTTTAACATGCGATTGCTCTTGTGCTATACAATTTATTCAATGACCTGATTGGAGAAACAATACGTATAGTTATATATGATTCTTTCTTTTAAATTTTTGCTACTTTAGTCACGCATTTTAAATAAATAAATAAAATACGTATGATCAGTGGTAAAGTGGTATTGGTAATATAATTACAAGGACATAATTTCTAAACTAATATCTAAAGGGCATTATTAATTCAAAATCATTAGGAATGTTAAAAATTGTACAAAGTTTCAAGTAAGATGAAAACGGGTGGTGTAATACATTTTCGAATAATACATGGTCGAGTATATATTACTAAGATCTAATATATTATGATAATTGGTAACTATAATTGTTTAATTTATCTAAAATAGTCGAGTATGTTTCTAAGCTATATTATTCTTTTGATTATGCGGGTTTAGTGTTACGGTTAATCTGTAATAATATTGTCGATGAATTTCCGGACAAGCTTTTGTGTCCAGTGTTGGAAATTAAACTTATTTTAATATTCTCAAAACAAAAATTTTTTTATATTTTATTGGTAAAAATTAAAAATTGATGTTCTCGGAGAACATTGAGAACATCGAATTTCCTACACTAATCGTATCATTGAGCCCATCGTTTTAGCTCTGCCCTAGAAATGGATGAGCATGCATAAGTTGACATAGTGTTTGCAGGCGAAACTTAGAGGTTTCGCCACAGACGAATGGCGAAACCTAGTTTCGACTTTCGCCAAAAAAAAATTAAAATGGCGAAATGGCGAAAGGTACGAAACTGGTGAAGCTGGTGAAACTGCTAAAAGGTGGTGAAACTAGAAAATGGTAGCAAAACCAGTGAAAGATAGCATAGCGAACTTTTATTGTGATTGGCTGATTTTTGTAGATCATCTCGTCATACTAAAGTATTATTAAAGT